TCGACCATCCAATGTGCCTGTAAATGACCATCAGCCTGGTGACTGTCTTTCGGCTACAGCCACGTGGGCATGCGTTGCTTCTTGATGTATCATACCAATACTTTTTCTTTCAGCAGTACCATTAATAACAGCATGTTAATTGTCACTGTCCCACGGTTTGGTCGTGATGAACAGAGTATTGTTCCTTCTATACCCATATCTTTGTAGGATGCCATGCAGCAAGTACAGCAATAGTTTCCATTTAAACTCCAGTTCCACTGACCTGGGTAATGCAGCACGTACATTACTCAGCACACTGTTGTGCTTATGTTTGGGCGATTGATTCTCAACCATTTTGTAACACTATTCGGGGTTTGGATGTGTCCAACTTTCAGTTTGGTATTTTTTATTTTTTATTTGTTTACATCAAAAGTTATGTCACTTCAGGGGGGGGGGGGAGAGAACCACTCCCCTCCCTACAACACTTAGATATGACTCAACACAAAGTTGTTTCAAGCGAGCGAGACTTTCAGAATGTTCGAGAATGTTGTTCGTTACAAGATAAAAGAGTCTCAATAATGCTCTATGTTTGGCATCACCTGTGTCTATCTTTAACCCTTCAGTTTAGAATTGGAAACAGGTGAAAGCAGACACAACTTTAAAGGCCAAAAAATATCCTTACACCTCCCAAGCAGCGAGCCTCAGGGGCACACGTGTTTCAAGGCTGTGATTGCGCCCATGTCACAGAGTTGCGAGAACCGTGCAACAGTGGGTATACAATGTACGGGTCATACGTCAGCGTTCTCCGTCCTACACAGATACAGGGCAAGGTGAATAGCCTGACATTTGTGTTGGTGGAATATCTAGGTATAGAGTGTCATATGGCTTTGATAGGATGGGAAGAACATCATAGTAAAAAGCACTGGGCTTTGTGATCCTGGGGCATGGCGTTAGTGGTCCCTCCCCTCCCCTTCACAGGAGGTGATGCTTCACAGATGTGGCTCCCTGGAACAAGTCGAGATGTAGGTGGATTGCTACCCTTTGTACACGTGGATAAATAACCACCGAATTACCCTAATGTCAGTTTACATAAGTGGAAATCCGGTTATATGCAAATGTCGAGGCTTATAAATATATTATTGAATATGAACCTGAACATCACCAAGCCTGTCGAGCAGCAACCGTTTGATCATCGAGGAATGGTGAATGAGAAATATAATGTTCTTATTTGGTCTCCGTCTACAAAGTTGAAAGTCTTCTATAAAAGAAAACATATTAATTCTTACAGCCGACGTTTTCTCAAGAATGGAATGGATGCCGGGTGCGCCCAACTCCAATCGAGATATCTGGTTATACGGAAACCCCCAACCCGACACGCACGCACGCACACACACACCGAAACCCGCCACACACACACACACACACACACACACACACACACACACACACACACACACACACACAGAGAGAGAGGCACAGACTCACTAATACAGGCACACCACACACACAAACACCTCACCAAAGGTTTCTATATCATTTCTCGCCACATATCTAGTTTCGTAAAGCTCTCCAATTATTCAAAATTAATCATATTTTGCGCTATATATTTCAGTTACAGTTATTCATGAATCGGAAGCTATCTTTATTGCCTGACAGTAAATTCAAAACGTTTTGCTCGTTGCTTTCACCGATTTAGAGATAAAACAGCTGTTGATGAAAGCAGGGGTCGTTTCAAACTGAGAAAGATTCTTATTGAAACAAACCCAAGAAAACATTAAAAAAAAACGCAACCACACAGGTCAAAGTAGACTTGCACAAGTCTATAAGTCAATAATTATTAGTTTAAGTCATAATTTCTAGATCATGTCAATAACAAGAACAAGTTGTCCCTATAAGAGACTGGAGTCCTCAGATACTGCCCACATATCTTGGCTTGCCTGTTATAAGGATATAATCACTACACATCCATGAACTTTTCTTTCAGTACAGCCTTGGAGCAAGGGTAAGGTCCAACGCGTAGCAGGGGTCTGACCGACGAAGTATCGCCGGATTCTGGCCCCAGAACATTTCAGCACCACACACTGCTTGGGGGACCGGTGACGCCATGAATAGTATTGGTAACATTCATGGACTACTGAGCATGTAACCTTGACAGGGTTAGACAGGAAACAATTTATGATTTCTATTGCATAAATGAGATAAATCAGGCTCGGTGGTAACAAAAAAACCTTTATACTGAAATTTTATTTTACCACATTCCTAAAATTTAAAATATGGTGGGGGATTTGTAAACAAAGTAAAACGCCTCACCAACGGGTGGTATGAACGAGACTAACATGTTAACTGTGTTTACATTTTCTAACAGTTTTATTCAGTTCAAAGTTGTAGCAAAGACTGAAGCTTGGAGAACTGACTCAGAATTAGAGCCCTCAATTGCGACAAGCCAATGAGGACTACCATCATTGGTTTTTACTCAGTACAATTTAGTAGAGAGATGGGCTAAATCGAAGTCAGAAGGCCGATAATTCATTATGACGGAATCGCATTAAAGATTGCAGGGGACATTTAATACTAAAATATGATGGTTTGGAGATTAGATTTAATCAAAATGTTTTACATTAAACGTTTCCACGATCACACAAGCGAGAATCCAATATCAATCAAAAATCAAATAAATGTTTTTATGACTTTTGATACCGCCCCGTCGAGACATATTTTCTCTGTTCTCTTCAGGCTGCTAAATAGATACACACGGAGTAAAGTGATATTGCCATATCTTTCAACATAACAGACACAGCTATTTCAGACAGAAAGATAAACACAAAATAAATCCTCTCCAGAGAGCTCTATCTTTATTTTTGCAAAGAGCTTCAGACACTGTATTGCAACCGGGTAGGGAATTCGAGTGCCGAACTCATATCAACGAAATCCCGTAAATTTTGGTATCCTTTAAATAATTAATCCGTAGCATAGCTTCTTGATGATATTGGTTCCATGCCGAGAGACTGATTCGCGTAATGGGCCAACACGTTCGATAAGTTACTGATGGGTCTTTATTAAGTCTTCATGCTGCTAAATATAGAGAACTCTGACAGTTAGCAGGGTGGCTAATGAACAGCTTGGCTAAAGTGGAACGCTTGATAAGCGAGAAGACTGTGAAATGTGCAGTCAAATACATGATTGAAATAAATAGCTTTTCCAATAACTGAAATAGATGTCAGGCACATTGGACTGTTGCAACCCTTTCGACACCATTTTAGGGACAGTGTGTTCTTGCAACTTTGTCGACGGGTTTTTATGGACAGTCTGTTATTGCAACTCCGTCGACAGGTTTTTAGAGACGGCGTGTTGTTGCAACTTCGTCAACGGGTTTTTTAGGGACGGACCGTTGTTGCAACTCCATCGACACCTTTTAAGGACATAGTTCAGTTACAACTCCGTCGATAGTCTTTTAGGGACATTGTGCTGTTGCAACACCGTCGACATCTTTTAGGGACATTGTGCTGTTGCAACACCGTCGACAACTTTTAGGGACATTGTGCTGTTGCAACACCGTCGACAACTTTTAGGAACAGTGCGCTGTTGCAATTCCGTCGACAGGTTTAGAGACATGTCGCTGTTGATCTCCACCGACAGTTATCGGGGACACTGGGCTGTTGCAACGCGGGTTGCGACCATAATTGATATTCTGGATTCGCTGTTCCATCTCTGTACACAACTGTTAGGGACACTGCGTTGTTGCAGTTCGGGCCTCACCGGGACAGTTGGTATAGGCATGCACAATAACAGATTGTCTTTAATACTTTAGGTGTAGCGATGTGGCCTTGTTTTGAGGATACATTTGCTTGGACCTGGAGCTGTTTAGATATAGAAAAGAAGAAGAAAAAAAGCGTTGATAACAAGTATTTGTCACAGAGTGACGAAATATCCCCCGCCATATACACCATAGTACCAAATATGAAGACAATCCAGCGATTAGTTCTTGAGATATTGTGGCAACACCGTTTTCCAACTCCAAAAACAGATTTGCCTGCTGTGACCTTGAAAATGGGGTCAAGGTCACCAAATCTGACAGGTGTATGCGGTGTTTGTATATACACTATAGTTCCAAATATGAAGACAATCCAGCGATTAGTTCTTGAGATATCGCGGCAACACCGTTTTCTAACTCCAAAAGCAGATTTGCCTGCTGTGACCTTGAAAATGGGGTCAAGGTCACCAAAACCGACTGGTGTCTGCGGTGTCTGTATATACACCATAGTTCCAAATATGAAGACAATCGAGAGGTTTAGTTCTTGAGATATCGCGGCAACACCGTTTTCCAACTCTAAAAGCAGATTTGCCTGCTGTGACCTTGAAAATGGGATCAAGGTCACCAAAACCGACTGGTGTCTGCGGAGTCTGTATATACACTATAGTTCCAAATATGAAGACAATCCAGTGTTTAGTTCTTGAGATATCGCGGCAACACCGTTTTCCAACTCTAAAAGCAGATTTGCCTGCTGTGACCTTGAAAATGGGGTCAAGGTCACCAAAACCGACTGGTGTCTGCGGTGTCTGTATATACACCATAGTTCCAAATATGAAGACAATCCAGTGTTTAGTTCTTGAGATATCGCGGCAACACCGTTTTCCAACTCTAAAAGCAGATTTGTCTGCTGTGACCTTGAAAATGGGATCAAGGTCACCAAAACCGACTGGTGTCTGCGGAGTCTGTATATACACCATAGTTCCAAATATGAAGACAATCCAGTGTTTAGTTCTTGAGATATCGCGGCAACAAACAGGTGGGACGTACGGACGGTCGGACGGACGTACGGTCGTGAATACTATATCCCCCGCCTCGCGCTTTCGCGCGGCGGGGGATAATAAGTTCGAATGCTGTAAGTAGTCAGGCCTGTGACAAGGAGTCTACTTACCCCTAGATACAAGGAACCAGGCCGACAAGCGAGTCTACGCCTGTGGATGGGTCAACCTACGCCAAGGGGTACAAGGAGTAACGCCTATTGACGACAACTTACCCCTGGGGATGAGGGGATGTGACACGTCGAAATATTCCTCCGTGGCAGCGTGGTGACGGATTTCCCGGAAACGACTCTCACCCGGCCCCCTCATCAGCTGTTCCGTCCAGTGCACGAACGCCCGTCCCCGAAACGTGATCCGGATGCCTGGGGACAGAAGAGTGAGTTAGTGAGGGTGATCAGTTTGAAGACAAGTATTTCAATCATGATGAACAGTCAGAGGTGGCGCAGGATGTGGACATGTCACATCCGCGAGCCACTAACCCGTTGACGAAGTATTATAGATAAAGAAGTTTATTGTACATAAACATCCACAGGGGGCAGGGTAATGAACATGACTAATTGTAACGGAAAGTTAATATACACAACGTAATACAAATATTGCTATTAGTAAAGGCTAGGGAGGAGATGCAGATTTTCTTTGCACGTCCATTTTGGAAATGAAATAGGCAGATACTTTTGGCAGCAGGCGCTGGTGGATTTCGTAGTATTTAAAGTGATATTGGGTGCATAACTAAGGCTTGTGATTATATCAGTTCCTGTCTCAGATCTTTGAAGAGAAGGCATTTCAACAGAAAGTGGTCCGCATCATATGTTTTGTTAGTTTTACAGTAGGTGCACGTTCTTTCTCCGAGTACGGATCTTCCTCCCTCAATCGGAAAGTCATGGGTACTGAGTCTTAGCCTTTAACTGCTTTGTGGTGTCTAATAAGGTGGTTACTTTCAGATATGTTTTAAGTTCTAATATGTTTCCTATTTTCCCGAGGTGTCTGACCTTATTTCAACTGGTTTAGTCTTGAGGAGGTAGCATCTTTTCATATCGCTAGATTGACTACCAAACTATCTTATTTTTTTACCTATTGATACACACACACAAACACACGTGCGTGTGTGTGTTTGTGTTTGTGTGTGTGTGTGTGCGTGTGCGGGCGGGTAATGACTCGTCCCTAAAAGTCATGTGCTTTAATTTATACATACTTATAGTGGGTATACTTGACTTATCCAAACACTTGTTTACCTGTTTCACAAATGCAGTAATCCTCCTGTTGTCCTGTTGTGATTTAAGATCATTATAATGAATAACGAATACATGTATTTATCCAATCCACTGCTCAAGCAGCATTACATTCTTAAATATACACGCCTTTATATCGTATTCTAATTTCGGGGTTAACCGAAAGTTCTGTTGTACATAAGTTGTAGGTTACTATCCTTTCTAACTTTAATGTAAGTATTTTTACGAACCCACCAGAGAGGGATCAAAGGACCCCATCAGAATCACGGCACTCGGTATGTATTTATCACACGTTCGAACCTCAAATCAGATTATGTGATTTAATCACCCACACGGCCATATCGGAAATACGGTCAACGGAGCATTGTGTAAATCCAGTAGATACTATATAAGGTGTTAATGAAATTACAGCCTCCGTGAAGCTTCTTAGCGTTATCCACGCTCGTCATCTGGGATATTTATTGCAGCTGGTGGTCACATTGGCATCTATGAGGTCGGCATGGTGAGAAAGGATAACACACTTAATACAAGCAGAATCAAATTTGCCAACCCTTGAAGTTATGGGCAAGCCATGGTCGAGACAGAATTGGCTCAATTAGAGACACGGACATTGCAAATTTCGTTAATTTAATTTTCAATTAAATTTACCTTTGAAACCTGGTTGTATGGACAAAGGATGTAGACATAATCCGTATGTTTGTCTGTGAGTCTACTCACGGGTCCGTGGCCTACTCAAACGTAGATTATTTGATGTATTAAGAAGTTCACTGTAGCCAGGCTGTCTCGTGCGTTGTATGTAAACATGATCAAACTGAAAATGTTCCACTGATGTACAATGATACCCAAAACAGAACCCTTTTTGGAGAAATTATCCAGTGAGACCCCAGACCGTACTCTTCTTGGATAAAATATCCAATGAGACCCCCGACAGTACCGTTCTCGGAGACGTTATCCAATGAAATCACAGACAGTGCCGTTCTTTGAAAGGCATTTAGAAGTGATACACATGAGGAAGAGAATCTGTGGATGTCAACTTCTTTGTTATGAAAAAAAAAACATTTCGGAGTATATACTTACACCTTCATCGGGTGAATAATGCTAAGAAGCAGAGACATATATATGTACATGTAAGAACAACAAAAGTAATAAGTTAACAAAGGTGGAGACTTATTGAAACCCAAGACAGTACCGTTCTCGGAGACATTATCCAATGACACCCCAGACAGTACCGTTCTCGGAGACATTATCAAATGACACCCAAGACAGTACCGTTCTCGGAGACATTATCCAATGACATCCCAGACAGTACCGTTCTCGGAGACATTATCAAATGACATCCCAGACAGTACCGTTCCCGGAGACATTATCAAATGACACCCAAGACAGTACCGTTCTCGGAGACATTATCAAATGACACCCCTGATAGTACCGTTCTCGGTTACATTATCAAATGACACCCCAGACCCTATCGTTCTCGGAGACATTATCAAATGACACCCCAGACTGTACCGTTCTCGGAGACATTATCAAATGACACCCCAGATAGTACCGTTCTCGGTTACATTATCAAATGACACCCCAGACTGTACCGTTCTCGGAGACATTATCAAATGACACCCCTGATAGTACCGTTCTCGGTTACATTATCAAATGACACCCCAGACCCTATCGTTCTCGGAGACATTATCAAATGACACCCCAGACTGTACCGTTCTCGGAGACATTATCAAATGACACCCCAGATAGTACCGTTCTCGGTTACATTATCAAATGACACCCCAGACTGTACCGTTCTCGGAGACATTATCAAATGACACCCCAGACTGTACCGTTCTCGGAGACATTATCCAATGACACCCCAGACTGTACCGTTCTCGGAGACATTATCCAATGACACCCCAGATAGTACCGTTCTCGGTTACATTATCAAATGACACCCCAGACTGTACCGTTCTCGGAGACATTATCAAATGACACCCCAGACTGAACCGTTCTCGGTTACATTATCAAATGACACCCAGGACTGTACCGTTCTCGGAGACATTATCCAATGACACCCAAGACAGTACCGTTCTCGGTTACATTATCAAATGACACCCCAGATAGTACCGTTCTCGGTTACATGATCAAATGACACCCCAGATAGTACCGTTCTCGGAGACATTATCCAATGACACCCAAGATAGTACCGTTCTCGGTTACATTATCAAATGACACCCCAGATAGTACCGTTCTCGGTTACATTATCAAATGACACCCCAGACTGTACCGTTCTCGGAGACATTATCAAATGACACCCCAGACAGTAACGTTCTCGGAGACATTATCCAATGACATCCCAGACAGTACCGTTCTCGGTTACATTATCAAATGACACCCCAGACTGTACCGTTCTCGGAGACATTATCAAATGACACCTCAGATAGTACCGTTCTCGGTTACATTATCAAATGACACCCCAGACTGTACCGTTCTCGGTTACATTATCAAATGACACCTCAGACTGTACCGTTCTCGGAGACATTATCAAATGACACCCCAGACAGTACCGTTCTCGGAGACATTATCCAATGACATCCTAGACAGTACCGTTCTCGGTTACATTATCAAATGACACCCCAGACTGTACCGTTCTCGGAGACATTATCAAATGACACCTCAGATAGTACCGTTCTCGGTTACATTATCAAATGACACCCCAGACTGTACCGTTCTCGGAGACATTATCAAATGACACCTCAGACTGTACCGTTCTCGGAGACATTATCCAATGACATCCCAGACAGTACCGTTCTCGGTTACATTATCAAATGACACCCCAGACTGTACCGTTCTCGGAGACATTATCCAATGACACCTCAGACTGTACCGTTCATGGAGAAATTATCCACTGAAACCCCAGATCATAACAAGATATAAAAACCGAGCAGAGAACATTTTCATCCTCGGAAAAATCACTTGTGTTCAAATGAACGTTCAATAATCATTATTAGCACATGTGTGCGAATGATTGATATTCTCGTTTGGCGAGGAATGGCATTGTAAGTTCCTGTCCGACTTCCTTAGTGACGCCAGCCATTATTCCTCATAAAGACTGACATCTGTAAGGTCAGCCAATCAGCGCCTATGTGTCAGCTCGTGCACCCGCGTCTATCACATCGCGAGATAAACATGGGCGAACTTCATTCATTTGATGCGAGAATTAAATTTCTTATATTGATTAAGAAATATTAACATACGTTCCACAACCTTCAGCTAATAGAAGTGCAGATGTATGGAAATCCTAAAATGAAAATATGAATGGTGTATTTCGGCAATAAATGGTCACTGCCACGTTAATCAGTTTCTGAGTAAGACATATTTGGTATAGAACAGAAAAAGGATGTCAGGATTTACAGAAAACATTCGGTCTACATATAACTTCAATATTAGTCATACACCTCACTTCCAAATATAGTCATATTTATCACAAATTAGAGGAACGGAACTATACATGAGTTTAATTTAGTTTTAAATTACAATATCCACTGAGTCCACATCCACATGCTCCGGGCATGCTGGCTCTGTTCTTATGTTTATCAAACTGTAATTTAAATTACATCAATCATTTATAGATAGTAATAATATATATTTATCGGAGGACATGAGAATAAACATTCTACAAAATCGAAGCCGGAGCTTTACCCTTAGACTTCCCTCGTTCTCTGAGGCATAATTATTAGAGTAAATCCTAACTTCTTGATTATATAAATAACAGGAACAAGTTGTCCCTATAAGAGACAGGCTTCGTTAGATTGTACACTCATCTAGACTATTGCCAATTATAAGGATAGAATTATTCTTCCATGGAATTATTATTCAGTACAGTCTGGGTGCAAGGCTACTTTACCCGGTAAGATAGGTTTTAATCAGACCAGCCTGCCCCCACCCCACCCCATACTCAAGATAATCACAATTTATTACGGTTCCAGGAAGATGTTCATTAGAACATTTTAAAAGAACGCCATCTTACGTTATGATAAATCAAATTTGTCCTTGTGTAGCCCCTCTCTATGAAGCTGTTACGAGTAATAGACTGTAATTATAGCATGTACTGTTTACCATGTGAACACATCTACTTTGGTACGCCTGGC